CCTTTATCCAAAAAACAGCGATGAAAGAATGGAAACAAAGCTCCAAAATCAAAGGTGCGGCCGTTGCCCAGTGGGTCCTGCGACGAACCTCCCCAACCTTTCCCCATCCCCCCATCCCCAACATTCAGCATACGGGCCCTGGTAAAGGATGCACATCCTTAGGCTAAATCCTAGATGTTCATCGGTGCTAACTTAGTTGGGGGGGGGCACGCGGCGGCGCGGCAGTCTGCTCGCCTGGCATGTTCGGAAATCCGTGGGCCAGGGGGAGTGTAGCCAGTCTAGGGGGTTGGGGGGTGGGGGCAGTCACTTGACATGCGTGAAAAGCTGGAATGTTCGAGTTTACACTGTCTCGCTCGAGAGAGCCCAGGTGAGCAGACTGCCGCGCCGCCGCGTGCCCCCCCAACTAAGTTAGCACCGGCAACTAATAACTTCGTATAGACGGCGTATAATAAATTAGGGTTAGGTACTTGCCCATTTCAAGCAGCACAGATGACTGTGAGAAAAAAACTAATGTCTTCGCTTCTCATTGGAAACGCAACAGACGATGTTTAAAAGCATACGGCGTGCATAAATATGCAAAGTTTATGCTTTCATGGCTAACCAAACAACTCGACTTTTTGATTACTAGGAGTCTCATAGATTTCAGGTGATAGTCGCTTCCCAGAGAAAAGTCTACAGGTCCTACTACAACGCGAAATACCAGCTGTTACTATAAGAACTACAAGAAGCAAATTATAGATAACTCGCACAGTCATAAAATGATTAAGCTTAGCATCTGAAAGTCAAACGGAAGTCAGCAGAAGTGCCTCAGGCAGCATAGCATGTGAGAAAGCCGAGACGGGATGTGTGATGTCCGACTGGAAGACTTGTTTCCCGGTTGACCTTCCGAAAGAATGCTTCGCGTGTCATGAAAAAGTCTGCCCGCAGTTGCACGCTAGGCCCTACAGTATGACTTAATTGGAAAGTGGGCGATTGAAATCTCAAATGCTGCATGGTTTCGCAATTCCAAGGTTAGTTTTCTGCTTGTTTGTCTCCTTGTCTGTTCTTACTTTTCTCCATATTCTGGAGCATCTTTCTATGTCTCTCTTTCGTTGGGTCGTTTTGCTTCCTTGGATAGAAACCCTTTCTTGGACCATCGTAAACAGGCTTTTAAACTATTTTATCATCGATTCTGTGTGAGTTAACCATTTTTCAGATGAGTGTCTCGTTGTGGTGGTGCAAGTTTGTTCGACTAGTGCAAGGAATTGAATATGAAGAACTGCACAGACTTTGTAATCGCTATTCCAAGCGAAAAGTGCTAGGGGCTCTATGTGCAGTGATCTTCGTGCTGTACTATCTTGGGATTTCGAGCGGTGGTGACCACCTTTCCAAAGCTGGACAGTGCGTCAAGGAGCGGTTTAGAAATTGGGAGCAAGGAGTCATTGTAAGTACTATTTCCAGCTTTTGCATTATTAGCTTGTGGTTGCTTTCACATGGGCTGTGGTTGGTTATCAGTTACCTCGCCGCTAAGTGAGCCTACGCTGAAGCTGAGCTGTGTGCCATCTTCGGCGGGCTGTTCGCTGGTTTTTTTATGCTTTTGGGGTTGTTCCTTGCGCCCCACTTTAGGTCGAATCTATGATAACGATCTTGGACCGTATGCTGAATGTTGGAGAGGGGACGGGGATGGGTAAATGTTGGGGAGGTTCGCCGCATGACCCACTGGGCAACGGTAGCACCTTTGATTTTGCAGCTTTTGTTTCCATTCTTTCATGCTGCTTTTGGTGTAAGAAAATACAGTCGATATCCGAAAGTTGGGGTAGGTGTGGCACCGGAAGTGACGTGCACTTGATAGAAGTTGCGTGGATAAGCTGTTTCCAGCATGCTTTGCTGATATCCAGCGATGTATGCTGGCAACAGCTTATCCACGCAACTTCTATCAAGTGCACGTCACATCCGGTGCCACACCTACCCCAACTATCGGATATCGAGTATATACCGTTAGCGATATACATACAGCAACACAAAAGGAATGGAAACAAAGCTGCAAAATCAAAGCTGCGACCGTTGCCCAGTGGGTCCTGCGACGAACCTCCCTAACATTACCCATCCCGTCCCCTACCCAACATTCAGCATACGGCCCCGGTATGTGTCGACCCTACATTCGGCTGTGCCATAGGACGGCTTAGACTAAACTTATAACTACCTGCGTATGACGCGCGACCGAGTAGAAATTGTTTTAGAGGGCAGTCGTAGGTTTGAAAAACTAAATGGTGCGTTGTTCCCGGAGTTTGAACCGGCAAGCGACAATTTGTTTACGGAGCTCTATATTTTGTGGAATGACTGCTGGTAAGAAATCGTGACAGTGCCCAGTAGCCACTAGTTGCACCTCATATGCAGCCTGCATCTCAGCAAGGATATAGTGGTGAGTGGAATGCTTAGAAATGCATCATCAATCTTCTGCGTTTCAGGATCAGTCAATAGGAGTTGACTCATCTTCAGTGTCATTTATTGGGAACGGTCACATTGGAGTAGATGTGAATGGAGAATTAAGGTTGGCTCATGTCTTCTTGTTTTATTTTGCCAAAGACTTACAGGAAACTCCATTTGTAAACCTGTGAATGATCCTAGGCAAGGCTATTAAGACAGCCTGTGAATCACCTCTGAGTATGGGAAGTCGATCTACGAGCGCTGTTTCTCTGCTGGCTTCACTAAGCGAACATGCTTGACTGGGGCTTATATTCACAAGGATTCCGACCTTATGGACGTAGGTCTCGAGAAAGCCGTTCAGTTGGGATTCCCTGAATTGCGTCCCGCTCGCATCTTTAATACCTAGTCTCTCAGTGTCCAACCCGGTGTTTCTTCGCCTTGGTGTCGTGATCTACTCGAAATCGACCACAGAAGAAGGCATTTACTAATTTACGCTTTCTATGATTCATTTTTTACTAGTGTAGCACCCACATTCGAATTTTGAGTGCCACTCCGTACCCAAGCTCTAATAGCATGGAATATGTCTTCAACTTAGTCCTTGTAATGCAATCCCCTCCTTCATCCCTTCAGTACCTGAACGTTCTATAGATTCAGATTCATTGTTGGGAACCAAGTTTGTCAGTCAGTGCAGATTTTATTCCTTTTTTAGAGTTCCCTCAAGTGCTTCTAGTATACTGGACTTTGCTACTGGCTTCAAACCTTTCGTGAATTTGAAAGTTGTTGGCACAGACTCGTCTGCGGAAACTACGTTCACCGATTTCAAGGCTGGACGTCTTCGCAAAATTAAGTGTTATGTAGTGGTACGTTCTATAATTGTCTTTTTTTGTACTATACTACTACTTTTATCAAGTGTTAATCAAAATATTTCAGGATGGAGAATGTGCATGCATTGTAAGAACTAGCTATGTGCACCGGACTAAGAAAGAGCTTTTGGTCGAGGAGGTGAAAATTGTCAATCCAACGGTAATTCTCAGCGAACATGTTAGGTACTAATACTTTGTCAGTCCTTATTATTCGATTCTTTGCTTCAGAAGGCATCGATCACTGTAAAAATGGAGCGGCCTGAAGAAAAGAAGTGGGCAGCCAACAAAACGTACGTTTTACCAGCCTATAAGTATCGCAAATTGCTAATATTGGTATAGAAATTCTAGTAGTAATGCATTTAGCCGAATTTAATCGTTGCGGTACTCAGATTGATGCAGAATGTATGTTAACATGGCCCCTCGGCGGGCGATTTCAAGGAAATGCCTTCATGCTCTTCAAGATAATGCCTTCATGCTCTAGATTCCTCTTGGATATTCTAAGGGCCCATGCTCTTTAGCAGTAGGCCTTTCATGCTACACATCTTTGCATTTAATTTCTTCTGAATGGGCTTTCATTGCTTTAATTGACTAAGATCAAGCGGGGCTGAGTCTAGATAATTTAGTGTTTGTGTGTTTATTGTCTCTTCTGATATTTTCGAACTGCAAATCCGAATAACACCGATTGCTGCGGTATTTCAATGGAATGAAAATTCCAGAGGTGACGCGATTGTTTATTCTCAAACCTTCCCGCTATCTCTTTCGTCTCTAACTGCCGCGGTCATGTGCTCAAGTGTGCCGACGGAGTATACTGTATCTCAGAAGAGGTTAGAATTCCATTCGTTTTTCTAGTCGTCCGGACGTTTTTTTACGCATTAATTCATTTCACCGTTGAATGAATGGAAAATCTCATTGGTGAGTAGGTACACTGGCTCACATTCACAAGGTAGTCCAATTTTGTGGCTCTAATGTGACTGAAAAGATCTATGTTGTCAAGTGGATTCAGATCTTTCCCATGAACGAGAAATTGTGTTTGGCAGGAGAGATTTCGAATGAAAGGCTAGGGAGTACTCTTGGCATTGATCAGTTTTTTTTTTTTTGGTTTGCGCCTTGCACTAGTGCGGTATGGCCTCTGCAATGACTTGCGGGGACCAGTCGTTGTTCAAGTCACTGTTTCATCTTCACAAAGAAGTTTGATATCTATTGACCAACCCCGGAGCGATGGAAGGCTTGCTTGGCTTCGGCGGGATGCCATCGTAGGTTGACTCTTGCTTCGAGTTCGATGATGGAGTTTACCACTACACCACCTCTGCCTCAAATAATTGCCCTGAAAATATACAAAAAAAGGTTTCTAATGATAAGTGAAAGTTCCACAGAAGAAAACTGTGGAGAAATTTTGTTATGATATCAGTGAGAACCCTTGTTCATACACTTGTTCGCTTAGTGTTGTTCTGTGTATTTCTTCGAAAGTGACAAAATGTCATCATTTACTTCAGTAATTAAGGGAAGAAACCATACGCTTCATGTGCATTGTCGAGCACCGGGAACTATCCAGCAATATGGCAATAGACACTAAACCTGTACTACAGGAGCTCACCAGGAAAGTAATCACTGAATATGGTCGGCTAACTGTCGTCGCATCTTTAACTGTGGACCTAGAGCACGAACGTGCTTGGGAAAAAGTGAGAATAACTTCATAGTAGAAGAAGCTAACTTTTGCTTTGACTCGAATTTGTTGATTAAGTTGAATGCTGCTTCATTCTACTTGTCTCCGTCGAAGGCACCAAATGTTCTTAATGGTGATCGGATAAACGCAACTCGATACATTCTCATGAGTAACGTCAAAGCTCCCCTTCTGGAGGAGTCTTTTCCCGAAGACAAGAGAAAGGTACACAAATGGCCAATGTTGTTCTGTTTAGTTCTATGCTAAGATTATTTCTTATATGATTTCTTATATTAATAAGAGACCTTAGGCACTGGAGTTATCGTCAAGGCGCAACGAGCGATGCTACAGTGAACATTCAACTTTATTATATCCATCTAAGTTATGGCAAGTAAGTAATTCTCTGTTTATCTGATAGAGACATTATCACGACACTTTTTTAAGGACTGGAATAAAATCGAAGACCTTATGCGTTTGGCGGAGATCTGGCTGCTAACTCTTGATAAAAGGGGTTGTGCGTCCATACTCAAGTCAGGTGCTACTGGACTAGCTCAGGTTAGGTTTCCATTTCTACAACTGACATTCAGTTTTCTACATCGATTTTTCTAGGCATTTACTTTGTCGTTGTCCGCTGCGTCATATCATGACTCTCATCTGGAAGTTGCGCTATCGGTTTCCGATCTTCATCGTGAGCTCGCATTTGGAGGCTTGCCGATTGGAATCGGAGTGGGTGATGCTAGCGCTCGTGTGCGCATCGACAACGACAACACACCCTACTTCGAGGTAATGACTGAAAGTAAACAAGGGGATGCCCAATTTTTGTGTTTCGTCTTTTCCTCACCTACATATCGGCTCACAAGGCTAACTCGGCAGTCGGAAGTCATTGAGTTGCGATTGAGCCCAACGAAGAAGAATTTAATGTAATTTGTTGTCCACTAAGGTATCAGCAACGAGCACGCTGTACGCTTGTGGAGGAGGTTGTTTAGGAGAGCCGATTACACTAAGCAAAACTCCTGTGAGGATCCCTATCAAGGTTCGAATTGCTACTATTATCTAGTAATATATAGTCAATCTAGTAATGTATTAACTTATTGTTGGGGACTCAATCATGCACAAAATGATCCTTCTAGATTACTAAACCGGAGACGAGCATACTGTACATTGCGACCAGCCGTAGGCATCTAGAGCAATTACGGTATGTTCTAGCGTATGAAATTCATTGAGCAAACAGCTACGCATACATGTGTTTAGGTCGACAATACATGTTTCGGAAGTGATGTCGGCACCAGCTCATGAAAGTGAACTCCTTGCATTGCATCGACATGGCTCTGCGATGGGAGGACTTCCGGCGTGGTTCTGGTTTATCCTCGGTCAGCATTCTTTTCTTTTTATTATAAATAAGCCTTAGAGTTGAATATCTCGACCAAATGCATGCAGAGGCGACTATTTAGAGGGCACTGATGGTGTGAGTGGCGGAGGAGGTGTTGTGGCAAGTGGGGCCATTTATAGCGCGCATGGTCCTGGAATTAGATATCAAATATCAAATCTCGCAAATGCCAGCCATGTTTTCTTTCCGTCTGGGTTCGCATAATTAGTCTGATGGGAACAAAAGCATCGAGTTGTTACTTTCTGGTTCCAGCAATTTACCTTATGGGACGAATATCATCCAATGGAACTACAGTTTTGAATTAAAGGCACGATTCGGGATTGAATTTATGCTTTATTTTGTTCAAACATTAGGCGCAAGGAATGCAATGAGGAACATTAGTGAGGAGAAAAATCAAAAAAGCACCATAGAAAACACTAGCTGCGAGGAGAGGGAGAACGCGAGATAGTACGTCATACGCGAGAGGACGCAGAGGCCACGTATGCCGCCATGGTGGATTACGCTGGCAGCGCGGGCAGCACGGCGGGCGAGGCCTTAGCGCCATTGCCGCGCACTTTTGGGTCGCGATTTGTGCCCCCCCTTACTATGGGACCCAACATCGCACCGCTGCAGAACTTTCTGCTGTTGCCATATCGTGATCCATGGCTTCAAAGTACGTGCGTGGCAAGTACAAAAAGGTTTGTCAAGGCCAACACGTCTACCCCTGTACGTGATGAAGCATGTACTCACTGTAGCCGAGGCAGGGCCCCGAGGGTGGCGAGTTTTTAGTGCAATTCTGTGAGTGAACTCAGAGTGCACATGGTGCTCCCGTATATTTGTACACTAACTTCATTTGTCATTCCATCTTAATGGTATCTAGCGCCACCCACGTCCCAAGTTCTTCTGCTGAATTTCTGTTACAAGCCCTTCAAATTGTGTTTGGTTATCTGCATAACTACTGAAAGTCGAGTATCCTTCAGTAATACCCAGTTTAACTTTATTTACTATTTGTACACTCAAAGGTGTGCAGTCAAGAGAGGAGCACCACTTGAATGAATATTATATCATGTGGTTATCATGCCTAAATACTTTATTATTTTCAGTGATCCTATTAATTGCCTTCCACGCATTCCTTGCCAAGCTTCTGTGGTCGGAATGGCGAAAGGGTGATATGACACCCTACAATCCTTATTTAAGAAATAGGTATGCCTCAAGTCGCTCTCACTAAAGGATCGACACTATTTATTGTTTGATGTATACAACTGCTCCCTGTGTTTGGTGATTGTTTTAATGCTTGTTTTCATATGACGTGGTTATCTTTCAATACACAATAACATGATCATCCATATGAAATTATATTGAAATCTCCATATTTCTTTTTCAATTTGAGACAAGCCAACCTTAAATTTTATTATTAATACGTGTATGTAACTAAGCATATAAGCTTGCTAATAACTTAATTGCCTGTGGTATTGCCAAAAGAAATGCACTTGTAGTCCTTTAATAACTACGGTTATACTTGCATGTTTTCTCTAAAGTTTTGTCAGAGATATAGTATCCAATAAAAAATTATTTCATACTTTCGTGTCCTGTCAGAAGTAGGTCGAACCCAAGTATCTTCTATGTAACTTATTTATGTGACGGTTATGAAACTTTCATTAGAACTTGGTATAAATTTATAGGCAAAAAGCTCGTCTCCTGTTCGTTTGGAAAGGTCTCCGTGATGGTTAGTTTCAAGTCGCATGTTTCTGATACAGCTTTCGGCTGTTTTTTTTTTATCTTTCTGCTATTGAGTATTGATTAATTGTTGTGCTGATATTACCTACTTTTTGTGTGGATTTTTTTCTCATTTCTGTTTTTTAGTCGTTTGCTGGCTTTCTTCGTGTTTTTTAGTCGTTTGCTGGCTTCCTTGACATAGCCCGAAAGGATGTTGATCTCCCATCTAGCGCTCCTAAAGAGCTGCTGCGAAATGTTCATGCAGATTTTATCACGAATTTTGAAAAGAAGAAGGATTCTTATGTAAGCAATCAGTTATGCGTTCGTCTAACATCGTTGTTTTTTTTTGGTAGCAATTTGTTACCAACTACTCTTGCTTATTTTATTGTTTCCTTCAAACATTAAGGTCCAGGCACCATGGGTTGACCCTTAAATCTCAAGATAGCAGCGGATTAACCTACGATTGAGTTAGGCTGGGTCTGCCGCGCGTTGCGCAATCACAAGAATTACAAGTGGTCCCTTTCTGAACATTTAAACAATGAATGTGAAAAGTAGAGTCATGTGCAGTCGTCATTCAACTATCACCACCAGACGGAAATGTCGGTGGGATTGGAAAGAACCCCGATAGATTGATTGGGGCACTTGTGATTTGTGATCCATCGCGCGATTTGCGCGAAGGATCACAGAAATCACAAGTGCCCCATCATCTTTAACGACGGGATCTCGTAATAAAGTCTGTTGGCCCCTATAAAGTACAGAGAATAATCAGATGGCATAGCTTCAATGAGTGAGGTTCAGAAAAGTCAACGAAAACATTTCAGGAATGCATCATGCGCACCTTTGACCCTCAGTGAATTACTGGTGTGTTAAGCCCTGTCATCAGAATAAAGGTTAAGCAAGATGATTTGTGATCGCATTTCCGTCGTCTTGTGTATGGAGCGCTCGTACTAAATCGTTGCATTACGGTCTAATGTATGAATTTATTTCCCGAATATTTTTTCGCACTACTCGACCCAAGATGCACAAAGGGGATCCAAGCATCACTCGTCAGAACGTTTCTGGCCCTGCTCTAGTCATCCTGGTTCTTCTAATTGCAGCCCGATGCGCTGGATCGTGCTGCAGTTGTTGAGTACGTCAAACAGTGCCAGCGGTCTGACGGCGGGTTTGCGGCTGCAGCCCATCATGATAGCCATCTTACTTCACACTTTAAGCGCTGTGCAAGTGAGTTAATCCGGCCATATATTTACGTGGCTTTTTCGTGTTGTTGTTCGTATTCATAATACGAAGTTTCTTAGATCTTGATAATGTTCGATTCATTGGATAAATTTGACTTGGATCCATAGCTGAATATGTGCGACGGCTCCAGAACGATGATGGCAGTTTTGGTGGTGATGTGTCGAGTAGGCATTATTCTGAACGTGTTCTATCTGTTATTCCCTTTTATGTAGCTTTTATATCTGGCTCAGATTATTGTGTCCCAGTCCAGCTTCATGGAGCGTCACTTCCGAAGGAAACCGGAAGTTTTTATAGCTGATGAATTTGTTCTAGATGAAGTGGATACGAGGTTTTCCTTCTGTGCCGTCGCCACCCTCTTCCTCATTGATAGACTACACGTAATTGATCTCGATAAGGCTGTTCGGTATGTCCTAAGCTGCTACAATTTTGACGGTGGCTTTGGCACAAGACCAGGATCAGAGAGTCATGCTGGGCAGGTGCAGTCCTTTGTATTTCGTCCTCAACTTTATAATTCCAGCATTTTATTTCCTTTTAAGATTAACAACATCTGCTTTAAATAGGTTTATTGTTGTCTTGGAACTTTGTGCATTGCTCGACGACTTGAGTCGATTGATAGAGATAGAACTGCCGAGTGGCTCGCTCAACGACAGTGCGCCAGTGGTGGATTGAATGGTAAAAGTTTCATAAACTGATTTTCTTGTTTTGAATTGTTTGCTTCTCTAATTTTATTCAACTTCACTGAAACTTGTCAGACCAATTGCGATATATTCACAGAATGGCATAAAAGGATAAAATAAAGCCGGCTGCCGCCACTCATCTTGATTATGCAGCACTCCATTTTTTCTGTTCGAGTTATTTTGGTTGTCAGCTGCTCAGTCGCCGGAAACGCCGATGTTTCCAGAATCGCAGAGCTTTCTTTAGAAATTTAGTGTATATCTATGTTAACAGTATTGCAGGACGTCCTGAAAAACTACCGGATGTGTGCTATTCGTGGTGGGTTCTTGCCTCGCTTGGCCATGCTCGGTCGTTTGGATTGGGTTGATAAGGTGGGCCTCCCCTTTCAAATTGATCACGTTTGATATAGTATTTTATAATAACAACTTGTAGTCATGTTGGATTTTTGTTCCACGATTAAGCTGAGTGAAACATATTTTACTTTAGCAGGACCGTTTTTTACAAAGGTCTAACCTAACCATAAGATGCGCGACGAGATACGCAACGAAGTCGCGTATTTCCGCTATGTTCTCCCTTCTGCTCTTTCCTAGGCACCTACTGCCTCTCCGTTATAACGCTCTCTACTCGCGAAAATAAAGCGTTCAATTTCAGTGCTTTAGGTTTTTTTATTATAGTGGTTCGCACAGCACACTACGATTTTGTAGTTTAAATGTGCTTTAGTGGGAAAAGTTGGTCCTCTTCGGTAAAATGCTTTAAAAAATGGAATTCTCTGAAAAAATGACATCTCTGGGAAATCGAGATCAAAACAATTAGTTTTTCATGAGTTGTGATACTGTCACAAAAGTGCGTATGATAGCAGATGGAAAACTGCATTGCTAAAGAGAAAGATGGAGTAGCGAAAAGAATAGAAAATAAATGATCATTTTGACCAAGGAAGTTAAGTGGGTTTAGTGGATTAAGCAGCACAAATGTTGAGATAATTTGAAGGATGTACCATCTCACCCCACGAGAAAACGATATTGTGATGTGAAAGCATTCAATACTTCGTTATTTTATTTTTGTCCTAGAAAAAAAATCACTTTTTTCTCATGCCTCATATTTTCCCAACCTTTCACTACACTTTTATCAAGGATCTGTTTCAGGCTGCTATGATTAAATTCATTTATGCCTGCCAAGATGATGAGACAGGTGGTTTCGCAGATCGACCAGGCGATTGTGTAGGTTTTTTGTACATGTTGTTTCTGAAAACCTTGCCAAAATGTATGTTTTTTAGCCGGATCCATTCCATACGTTATTTGGCATCGCAGGTCTGTCACTACTGGGTGACGACAGTTTGCGTCCTGTAGATGCGGTACTCTGTATGCCTAAATATATGCTGAAAGACAAAACTCTTTGCTAATTTCCATGTTGCCTTGGCTTTAGTCGATTCCGATGTGATCTTTGTGTACTGGTTCAGTTAAATTATTGTGGATCTTTCCCATCAGAGTATTTTTCAAATTTTATTATCGTCGTTATAGTTCCACGGACTGATTAGTTATGCTCTGGTATTCGACTTACTCAAGTTTTTAATGAAAAATTCTAATTATCTGCTGTTATGAAATAACCATACACTTATTTGTGCTACCTTCTTAAAGGGTGTCCATGCTCACACCGGTTGAGAGAATAGGAGACGAGGAGAATCAGAGAATTTGCAGATTAAATATGAATCGAGAATAGAAAATCAGAAGGTCTCCTATCCCTTTATACTCCTGTCCGTTCAATTACTGAAACCAATTTTTTCAGCAGTTTCCCATATCCTAAAAATATACTCTCCTAGACATCCTCCTCAGCTCAAGCCGCAGAAAGCAGAAGAGCGGAGGCCCACCCGCAATCGGTGGAATGTACACCGAGTTGGGTCGAGTTTAATTTGTGTGAATAAGCTGGGTTCAATCGCGAGCCTGAAATAGACAGCTAGCCGTCTAGTCTTATACTGTTCTGCCGCTGTCGGCGATTCTACAATGGGTATGAGTACTGGAAGACTCACATCTTTGAAGAACCTTGAAAGTTTCTGGATTCGAGAAGGAGGCTTAAAGGTACGGGCCGCGATCGAATCGGGGTGTCTTTGATATAAAATCAGACAAGAAGTGTAAAGAAAACTGGTAGTGGGGAAAAAAGAACAAAGCGCCATGGAAAATCAAGAAATTTTTCTCGTGACCTTCGACCGAGTATGAAAGAGAGCCACGAGGAGAGGTAAAAGGCGAAAGAGTACACCGCGACGAGAGGGTGCAGACGCTCGACAGGGCTGGTGGTACTGTAGCGCAGGTACAAGTCGCGGCAGTATCACCACCCCTGTGAAGGGGCCCTGATACCTCATTCAAGCCGGAAATTTCTCTGAGGACATAACTGCGACCCGTGCCTCTTGAAGGAGAACGAACGAGAAGAGGAGATAAATAAATATGATGTGTCGCAACATTTGAACGCGCGATGATACGAATACAAATGGGCCGGCAGTAAAGAAAAAAGGAAAAAATCCGTCGAAAACGCTTGGGTTAAGGGCTCACTCACCTTCCTAATCGGCTGTGCTAAGGGAATGAGAGACTAAGCGCGGAGAGGAGAGTATGAGGCGAGAGAGCGCACTAGACGAGAG